AAACAAAGATAAATTTCCACCGTCGTTACAGTAACAAGGAGTAAAAGAACAGGGAGTTAGTTAAGGAGAAAGATTGAAAAGGGAATAATACGTAAATAACGGGGATTAAGGTATTTGGGAAGTGTAAGATTATACTAGAGGTCAAGATTGAGATTAGGGTTTCTCCTTTGAACCTTCGCGTACTCTAGCGAGCTGCGAGAGTATTTCGAAACTTTCTCCTGGTCCGTGGTTTTTTTTTCGTTTCGGTTCATAATGTTGTATGTAGGTTCTAACTTTACTGGTTCCTGGTGTGTGGGTAGAGTTGGATTAGCTGGTTGGATGGCAGTAGGTTGGTGCGGGGTGAGGGATCGTTGGGATCTGGGAGGGGAGGGTAGATGATTGGGATTGGGAGTTCCTGAGTGTGATTGCGGCGGATGGGATGAACCAAAGATGATGATAGGGCAAAGAGAACGAGAAAGCGATATCGGATAAATTAATTGGAAGGATCCTTAATTCCTCCTTTCGCACTTTTAGAAGTCGATTGGTGGTGATCTTTTGAGTTAAGCGGCTACAGTACCCGCAATGTCATCTCGTTAATGTCGACATGTGTTCGTAATCATTAGGATAATGTCAACCAACCAGAACTGGCTTTCTGCCAGTGTACGGAGTAATACTGGTCGGTACTCGTCATGAGTTGGTGGGTTGGTATATGTGCTGTGAGTGGTGGGTGAAGAGTGGGATGTTCTTTTGACCTTCTGTGACACCCTGCGAATCGGATGGCGGCCGTTTGGGGGTCGATTAGGAGGCAGGGGATGGGATAGGGGTACTTGCATGGAGCTTTTGTTCATACATGGATCTTCGAGTACGGAGAATACTTCAGTGTACTTGGGTATGGGGCTCTATGGTTGCGCTGCTGATAAGTAAGTATCTTGGCAAGTTGAGAGATATTTTGATGGAGGAAGCGATTCATGGCTTCTATAATGGATGAAATGATCTAAAGTCAAATTATTCATCTGTAGGAGGAAGAATTTGGAAAGTGAAATGCTGTAGGTACAGTATGAGGGGTTTGCGTGAAAGCGTCGTCCCAGGAGTCCGAGCCAAACTTTAGGAGTCAAAGTCTATCTTAAGCTTAACATGCAGTCAGGGACTCTAGTACTTAGACTTTGAATCGATAGTTGGAATTGGGATAACCTTAAGCATGTGGGTGGCGGAAGTCTGTTTGGAAATTACATGTTTCTGTTTAGCGGGAACGCTTGGCTAGTAAATTCGAGAGAGGAAGGAGGATTTCCGGATCTAGACAGGGTGTGAATGTGATTTGGGTTTTGAAAGAGTATTAGTTTTTATTTGGAACCTGGTAGATTTTGTTCTTGCGTTATGTTGTTCTTTTAGCTGCTTTGAATTAGAACCTACTTTAATCCTCGGTTATCCACACGGTTTGAAAAACGGGTTTTAGTTGACTACCTACCGCATCTACTTAGAAACCCATTCAAAGTCTCAAATTTCATATATACCACACCCTCTCCCCTGTACTTTTCGGTACATGACCATCAAAAGAGTATGAGTGGATCGCTTGTACAAAACATGTCTCACTTCCATCCACATTTACCCACGAACTGTACATTCACATGCACCAACCTCATGACCAACCTTCTTTCAAACCCGTAAACATGTACAATCTAAACAGTAGCGGGAAATGAAGGCAAGTCTCGGGATTTGAATATGCTGTTTTTGTCTTGGTTTGTTCATGAAGTGGTGGGAAGATACGAGGGAAACTTGTGGGGTCCTGTCTTTATGAGTCACTTATTTTAATAGAGGCGAGCTACTCACCCTAATCCTAGCTTAACGGGTGAGTGATTTGAGATGTTAAGGTGGCGAAATTGGACGTGGGTGTGGTGTGTATTATGACGACCTTCTTCTATCAAGTCTCAATGTTGTAGTAGGGTTCTGGGGCTCGCTGCTTCTATGTATGTGTGGATGAAAAGAGAGATACTCTGAGGGCTTTGAATTAATTAACCAAAGGCTGAAGAATACTCATGTGTTCATCGAATGTCCTATATCATTATACAGTGGGAGAGGGGTGTTCGGAGATAGAATACTTTGGTTTAGCGAGAGGAAATCATTCTCCCTTTCCGTTGTCTAGCGGAAGACAAGAAAATTATAGTAACTAGCCATAGTTGAAATGGCTCCTGTTAATACTGAATATATACAGATTTGTAGATTACGCTCGTTGTAAGTAGTAGTACGTAGAACTTTATAACCGTAGCTTTAAGCCTAATAGCAGTGGTTTATTGTGAATGAGGGATTGCTTACTAAGCAACTCGGTGGGATAAATATCCTACATACGAGTATACTCCTCTATTAACAATACTATATTTATTATTCTATATAGTACGATTATTAGCTCTTTTAAATCTAGTTAATCTAAAATAATAAGCCTTAATTGTACCTTCGAAACCTCTAAAACGTATATTATAAAGGGCTTATACTATTCCTTTAACGTAGTATATATACGTTTTAAATTTGAGGTTAGTAGTATCTACTTTAACTCTTAGTATATAAGCTTATTCCTACTAATAGTATCTTGTATATATTTCGGTATAAGTTTAAAGATTAATCGAAAAACTCGCTATAGTAGAAGTATAGGTTTAAGGAATAAGTTTAATTAATATATATATAATAACTATTATACTAACTTAATTACTTATATATATCCGTCCTAAAAAGAACTATAAATAGAACGAAGGTTAGGTAAAAAAAGAGGGTAAGTTAGATATATAAGTAAATAATTATTTATAGCTAAAGATTAGAAAAATTATTATTAATAACCTTTTTATTTACTTATAAATAACTACTTTAAACTATGTTTTCTCTACTAATAATACTACCTATATAAGAACCTTAGGATTCTTTAAGCTTACTAGGCTTCGAGTTTATACTAAGCCCCTTTACTAAATAAACTGTAACGAATACTCAAACTGGCTAACTAAACTTGGCTGGGTGTTCGCTGGTTGGTATGCTATGATAAGAAGAAGACTATCGGGTTGTTCACTTGGAAGTGAACTCGTTACTTGTATCAAAGATGTCAAACAAATATGATAAGATTGATAACTAAGTTGAGCACGAAGCTCCTATCTAATGGCAGACGTGCCAGTCTTATATAGAACCTTCATACCCCGCGTATGGTCCGAGTATAGAGTAGTATAAGCCTCCCTTATACTTCCTCATACTCCGGTAGTATAGAGTAGTATAAGCCTCCCTTATACTTCCTCATACTCCCTAGTCACATGATCTTCTGTAAGGAAGAAATCCTTGGATCGCCTAGCTACCCTAAGCGATCCCCATTTGCTATAAGAAATCTGAATGTGCCTGTCGAGGGTTGCGCCTCTTATTATGACAAGTATCACGTGAACACGTGATTCGTGACACTATTATAATTACTACTACTTATAAATATATTTAAACTATACTATTATTAAATAAGTTATTATTCATTTAAATTATTTCTACTACTAAATAGTCTAATAAGTATATACTTATACGAAAAGTAGTTATATTTATTCTAAGTTTAAGAGTCTCTCCCTTTAATCTATAAGGAACGAGTTAAACTTTAATCGATACTCTAGGAGAACTAACGCTTAGTACTTAGAATACGATTCTAAATATTCTAAGATTCTATTCTAAGGTAGAAGATTCTAAAGGCTCTTAAATTTAGAACGGAATATTCGAAGGATTAAGGCTCTAGAATTTAGAATTCTAAATAAAAAATATATATAGCCTTTTAGCTAATAAAGGAGCTTTATTTTAAAGTGAAATAATAATAAAGTAAATAAGTTTAGTTATTACGCGATAGATATAATAAGTAGCGGAACACCTTCTAGTTCGTATATAGCTTTTAATAAAAGTCGTTATAATTACTTTAAAGTAAAAGCACTTACTTTTTAATTACGTAAAGATGTTTTTGGTAACTAGTTATCTTTCCTTCCTTCCTAATATAATCCCTAAGCTTCTGATTAATTTGGGCATTTTAAGCGTTTTTTAAGCGTACTTAGGGGGTATATTTGTATATAGAAAGTCATCGCTTGTTGTGCACGGACCCATGGATAAACCGCCACTTTTTCTGTCCACAGCGTAGTTATCTACTATGTCACGGATGCCAACAAAGGATAAAGTGTATACAGCCTTTGAATCAATTGCTAGAACTAAAACCGTAGGTACGAAGAAATCAAACTAAAGAGAGAAGAGAATCTGAAAGGAGCGAAGTTATTTAAGTTGTTCCAATGCCAAGTCTCGTCACGTGCTTGGCCAAGCGAATGAAATCCTGTCAAATGAAATCCAGCTCCGTCACATACTACGTTAGTTATATGCTACTAGCTTACGTGTTTCGCTTAGTAGATAATAGCATAGTCTAAAACTAGGCACGAATAGTCTCTTGATCATTATTCTTAGTTGTCCCAAGCTTCCTGTTTGTTAAGGGACTAAAAAAAGGTTATTTATGTGACATTCCATTTTGGAATTCCAAATTATATAGTAGAATCTTGGAATATTACAGACCCCCTTTTAAATGGAATGGAATATTCCATAGAGGGGGTCTAGAATGGAAAGGAATTCCAAATGCCGAACGTTAGGGAAAACAGATTAAGTATAAGTAGTACTTATACTAGGTGAAATAATTAAGCGAGTTAAGAATACGTACTCGACAGAACGCCCAAAATCTATATCGCAAGTTTGTGTAGCACATTCCGAATCACGCTAGATTTCTATTCTGAGTAGTGGTTACTTTATGTGGTATACCTACTTAGCCAAACCTTTTATACAATCTTTACGGGTTAGCCTTTATAAGTAGCACAAAAATCTATTGTGAATTCCGTAATTCCTTCGGCAATCAAGAAGCTCAATCAGATCATCCAATTACATAAAAGTAGCATAAGCAACTCCTCCTAAAAATCGAAAAAATAGTACCCCAAAACCCAAGTTATCTTTCATTCTTCAACCAAAATATTCGCCTTCGCTAAAGAGTCGAAATGCCTGCGGGTAATCCTAGAATGATCGACTTGGTTACCCTATTGTGCGTACAACTTGAAATAGAGCTGAACGACACTTTCTTCTATCATTCAGTACGTTCGTGGGTAGTATTGAGAGTGATTCACCAGAAGTCCTCATTCAATCTTTCCTCATATGTCTAACACTTGGCCATAACGAATCCAAACCTGCCAATGATTAAGAGGAATCAATATGTCCTAATCACAACCTACCAGACTCTCTGAGTCATCATGCTAAATTCTCGACTAGAAATAATTTCAACCAGTTCGAGTCTTCTGTCCCCTCCTTGCTTCTCATTTACACAAATCATCAATAGTATCTCTACATATTCACTACAAAGCACCAAACACATCAAAGAAGCCATAAACATCAAAATGCCATCTTCTCATAACTCTAATCCGGAAACTTCCAATCCGCAACCGCAATCGCATATACAGAACACGGAAGCCAAGAGACTACAGAGACAGGAGATCTTCACAAACCTCAGCACCCTAGTGGAGATACTGACACTACAAATAGCCCCCCAGAAACTTCCGCTGAGTCCACGCTCCCTGTACTGAATAGAGCCAAGGCACTCACCTGTTCATCGCTTCCCAACGCAAACACCAGCTATCTGGGCATTCCAAAGTCCCCAGCTAAACCGGAAACTCTACTCCGAACCTCCGAATACCCATACGTCACTGGGAGGCTGAATGTTGACCGTTAATGTCCTCACAATGGCTGTAGTTCTTTCGGGCATGAGGAATTAGCGGCATCCTAGCATAACTCGAGAAGTGTTGCCTCGTTGCCAAAAATTGCTATATTGAGTCCTCTACAAGAGGACAAGCAAGACAGATCTAGAAGCACATAGCTGGAAACTGCTAAGCGACGAAGCGCTGATTGTGGTTCAAATAAATTGTGTGGAGTATGAAGTTTTCTGTATTATAGACTCTTGGGTTTTAGATCGTTCTCGTTGAAATTAGCAGTGATTTACTTCCGCCATATATCCACTTCGTACATCCGAAGGTCGTTCCAGCGAGATTGATTGGGCTCTATTTCATACTGTGACTCCCAAGCTACTCAAACTTTTCTTGACACAACAACATGCCGTTTGGGAATTGATCCGCCAAGCTCGATATCTGTCGCAATTACATAGTGGTTGAGAATGATAGCAAGAGTGATACTAGCATTAGCGAACCCTTTCAGCGCCCCAGGAATCAGCATTCCGCGAGAAGTTCACGTTAAGGTTCCCCAAACTCATACAAACCCGTCCATGGACTCGGACCGCCATGAAACCTTTGACCAAATCATACAACACATATACACCCATGAAAACACAACCGTTATATTCACAACGGATGCAAACTTTGAGCCTGTGAAAACGTCATCTCTGTCGCAATCAAGAAAACGGACCTTTACGATGGACCTTGTGCATTCCGCTCCAGTCCCGCTCTTCGACATTCTGTTCGATGTACAAATAGGCCACAAGATGCCCTCCTGATCGGATTAACAAAATTCATCTATCGATTCATTCTCTAAGGAAGAGAAGAATAAGCCTAACAATCCCACCGTAACGACATACGATTGCTTCGCAGTCATCACCTAGACCAAGATGCAATTCTCTATCCCCACAATCATTGTAGCTCTCCTTGCTACTTCCATCGCAGCAACATCAACTGACAGGAGAGCTACAATGATCGTGGGGAAAATTTGTACGTAACGCCACTTGTTCAAGTCCTTCATAAAAAGATATATATGTACTAACGAATCTCTTTACAGTGTTGCGACCAATGCGTTGGCGCCTGCAAGGGCCTGGCACCTGTACAAAGCCGAATACCAATTTTGATACTACCGCACAATACTGCTCCTGGCAATGTGGACCGGATGCCAAATGCTGACCGGTTTTGGGAGAGATACACCTAAGCCCCTGATGATGAAAGGAAGAATTTACGATATGTGAACTAGTTTGGGTAGCAGTGCCGTAAATTGAGAAATTCTGGGGATATTTCTAGATGGTTCCCCGTAAATATTTTAAGCAAAATGAAGATTGCCTTATGAAATTATGAGCATACACCCTGCAGACATTGAACGTGGCAGTGAACATGCTTTTTTTTAGAAGAAGCTGTATGGGGAATAATATGACGCTCAGTTATAATAAATATATCTGAAAATCAACGTTTGCTATAGACCTGTCCAATTTACTACCACAGAACAGCTCTAGAGATATCCAAAGTAAGTATTGTAGGTTTGTACCTGTGTCAAGAGATAACTATTTATATAAAAGACTCGATGCATGTAAGGATACCTACCATAAGTATGTGCTCGTTTATATCCTTATTATTTTCGGCCATATCCTTGAATCAAGTCTTTTCTACACTACTACTTTAAATGCCTACGGGTACAGCCTCGCTTAAAAGAGGGCGCCAAGAAAGTTTCTCATATGAAAAATAAATTACACCTCTCCAAATCGGCCTGAATATCGTCACATGTACTTCCCCTGAGACGAGATAAAATATCATTATAGGTTCTTCTAATTAAACTAGCCTTTACGTATACGAAGGTATTTCCCCCTTCAACGAACGGCTAAATTTCTATATATTGCACTTGATACCCACATGTAAATAATTAGTATTATTGTACGTTACTCACTCATCTCCACAAGATTACATTTGAGTTCTTCTTGAACAAATCGAATCCTGTCATACGCTTTACACTTTAAAATGCTTGTTAACATTCTCGCCCTCGCCCTCACTACTTTCCTGTCCTTAGTCCCGCTAGCAGGAGCCGCTTTTTCAATGTCGGGTGCACCTTACGGTGAAGAATATGTCTGGGAAGTGAGCAAATGGGAAGCAGGTTGCGATGCCGTGAGCAACACAAATTACCCTCAGTGCCACTATGGTTCGTGATCCCTCCCTCTGACAACGTACCATTCGTTCTATCTTCATCAACGCGATCATGTAATGTTGTAAACACCCATCCAACGCTGTGGAAGTAATTCTTTCTATATTCTCTTTCATACCATTACACCTCTCTCACACCCATATAACACCACCCTAAAAGGTTCCCACAGAGAGACTAACATCCCTTCCAGGCTTCGACATCAAGGGCAACAAAACAACCTTCAATAGTGGACAGAGCAACGTTAACAAGACTATCGTTGTGAACATCCCCCAATTCGTATCGCGATGCGAAGTCCTTACCGTCAGCGTGGGCTCCAACGTGCAAATGCCCTGTGCACTATACGACGACGGAACAAAACACAAGATGACGGCCATGTTCTTGCCCTATCCCAATACCACATTCGATAATTATCTCTACGTCAGCTACGGGTCCTGGATCACGTCTGCCCCAAAGTTGTAAGTGCCCTCATAAACCTCCTGTGCTGTGAAAGGAAACTCGCTGACCAGAGTTACGCTCTAGGGAGGAGGATTATTGGAATTTCACAAGTATTACCCCAGTGAAACTTGCTGGGCCGAAGGAGTTCACCATACCGACTACCGACGCGTGGGGTGCTTTTGGCTTCCCCTATCCATAGATTAGTACGTGGCTTAGTAACACCTTGGGAGGAGTCTCTTTACAAGCTAGTTGAATCATTATTCGCACTTCCACCAAGTATCCAAACGGAGTTTATAGACATGATGTTTCAATATATACAGGCTAATATGATCTATTAAAACCCTAAATGCACCCAATTATATAACGTAGAGAAACGGACTTACACTTAGCTTGTAGATGACTCATCCCTAGGTTGCCCCGTAATAAATCAACTAAACATGATCTATTAATAACACCCTACATTTCCCGTTACCTCCCGAGGGGCGATTCAGTATAAAGTAGGTTAGAGTTAGTGACCTGTTTGTTCCATCCATAGTACAGAAGTACAGAGGGTGGACAGTTCGTACACTTTACCCCTAAATGTAGAACTGATATAGGTAGGGATTATATGTAAATACCGTTGGTCCATTACTTAATTTTACCAAGTGTGCCTAATTTCCATGCACAAAACGCCGAAATTAACCTTACAACAGCACAAATGTTGAATGAATCTACCGGTATTCAAAACCGGCAAATTATACCTACCTATATTTATTCGTATTTATAGTAAATCATTCAAACTATCTACCCTCCTTAATCACGTAATTATCTCTATTCAAAGGAATCAGCGTATTAAATTCGAGTAGTTAAATTAAGTAGTAGAACCTAATTAACTTAACTTAAGTAGTAAAAATCGCTAATTGACTTAACTCGCTAAGTACTCGATTGACTCATGAGTTACTCGAGTAGTGTCGGCCCGATGCCCCGAACCGTCCCCGCCTCGCTAGCCGGCCTCCGGGCGGGCGGCGAGAGCCCCTACATCGGCACATGCTATTGAAGAATGAGTTTCTTGTAATATAGTTACGGTTATATATAAATAGTCGAGTACTACTCGAGTAGCGTTAAGTATTTGGTTAGTTTTGTTAATACGCTGAAAGGAATAGAAAGGCCGCTAGAAACCAACGAGTCTATGTACTTAGTACCATGAATTTATCGTCGAATCACTTAAGAACAAATAGATAAAACACAAGAGTATTCAATAAAAATAATCTATTTCTGCATATGTATCTCATAATCTGTCTCTCTCTCTCTCTGTTTGTCATCTCTCATTAAAAAGGCACAAAAAAATAAACGGCAAAAACAAAAAGAGCTAGAAACCATCGAGGCCTCGAAAACAGTGTCCTATACAAGCAGACACACCAATCCCACAGTCCAGTCCAAATTTCAAATCCCATCATCCACAATACCAAACTGCTTTTGGTCTATTGTAGGCATTTATTTCGCTTTGCGTGCTCGCGAGAAGAACCGCCCGGGACAAATAAAATGCAAACAAACGCCCCCTTGTATCAATCTGCGCCCGCTCGCCCCTCTTTAGACTTAGACTCGCTTACAAGCGATCCAACAACCCCTCGCTCTCAAGCATCAAAACAATCTGGTGGACGGCGCTTCGGACGCTAGTCTTCTCGATGTCAACCGTGAGGTTGGCCTTGGTTGGAGCCTCATATGGATCATCAACACCCGTGAAGCCCTTGATTTCTCCGTTGCGAGCCTTGGCGTAGACACCACGCTTGTCGGTCTTCTCAGAGTGCTCGAGACTGGTGGCAACGTGGACGAGGTAGAAACTTCCATATTTCTCGACCAAATCTTTAGCTTGGAGACGAGCGTCTTCGAAAGGTGCAATCGGTGCAGCGATGACGGCAGCTCCAGATCGGGTTAGCTCAGATGCAACAAAGGCGATGCGTCCAATGTTGACGGTTCGGTCTGTACGGCTGAAGCCAAGCTCGGAAGAAAGATTGGCGCGGACCGTCTCGCCAAGAAGAAGTGAGACTGATCGACCACCCTGTTGGTTGAGTGTGACGTGAAGAGCGCGGGCAATTGCATCCTTTCCACTGTTCTGGTATCCGGTAAGGAATACCGTGAACCCTTGTGCGGAACGTGGGGGGTGGGACTCTCTCAAAACTCTAACAACCTCGGGGTATGAGAACCATTCTGGAATCTCACGACCACTTCGAAGACGACTTCTGAGTTCAGTACCGGAAATATCGAGTGTTCGAATGCCAGGGGCAACCTCATCCTTTGGCTTGTACTCGTCGCTATCTGGGAGATAGGTCATCATCTGGAAAGGAACCACCTCGATGCCAAGCTCGTCTCTGTACTTCTCGACGGCGTACTGAGCGTCGTATGGGCCGTAGAATTCTTCGCCCTTGCTGTTCTTTCCTGGACCGGCATGATCTCTACCAACAATGAAGTGAGTTGCTCCAAAGTTCTTTCGGATAATTGCGTGCCAGATGGCTTCCCGTGGACCACCCATGCGCATAGCCAATGGCAACAAGCCAAGAACAGCCATTCCATTTGGATATCTTGGAAGGAGGGCTTGGTATACACGGACACGGGTGAAGTGATCGATATCTCCAGGTTTGGTCAGGCCAACAACTGGGTGGATGAGAACGTTGGCTTGACGTGCTCGGGCGGCGCGGACTGTCAACTCTCTGTGAGCTCTGTGCATTGGGTTTCTGGTCTGGAAAGCGACAACTTTTTGCCAGCCGAGTTTATCGAAGTGTGATCTCATTTCTGCAGGAGTAACTGCGTGGTATTAGTAAAATTCTTTAGAAGTGAAATTTGGGAGTGGTTACATCTAAGAGCGACATAATCGTAATGCTCAAGACGGTCAATGGCATCAAGCTTTCCTCCAACATAGAACTCTTGTGCGGTCTCAAAGAGGTACTTGACTGCTGGGTGATCCTCATCTCCTCCGAAGACTTCCTTGGCCTCGAGTTTCCTGTGACTTATTAGATGCGTTCTGATATATGCGAAAAGTCGTTATCTTACTTGTCTGGAACATATACATCGTCGACGGTGATGATGGCCAGGTTTCGGTCGTCACGGAAATCACGAAGAGCAATTCTTGCACCAGCCTTCACGCCCAATTCTTCAACTTGTTCCTTGGAGATGTCGAGGGTAATTGGCATACTGAAAAGGTTTCCATCGGTCAATCTGTTTTCGGTGACCACGCTAGGAGGAGTTAGAAAAGTTTCATTGCATTTCTTCGACATAAAAGACATACCCATGGAAGTCCTTCTCGTTCATGAAACCTGTGGTTGATCCAATTAGCTTTTGTTTCCGTTGTGAATAATGTTCCGAACGAAGTAGTGGGGCATTTTGACCCCGCCAACACCCAACACCAGGACTTTCGACATACCCTCAAGTGGAGAGAAACCACCGCTCAGAATCAGTTCGAGATCGCATAGTTGTCTTTCCGAGAGAACAATGGCAGGAAGAGTTTCGGCTTCCGCAAAAAGTTCAGCGTGTCGTGGTAAATCTCTGGCAATGAGATCTCTGTAGACGTGGAGGGTCAGTTATGACGGCACGAGCAAGTAGTGGGGTTGGAGGGACGTACTTCAGCTGTCCTCCATGTGGTGGGTTGGCCATGATGATGGTTTTTGAATTGATGTGGTGATGGAGTTTTGGAGTGGAAGAGTTGGATTGTATTGTAGAGATGTCGAAGGCAGGATGAAGATAATTGTATTGAAAACAAAGAATTTTGAAGGGAACGAGTCGAGTTAAAGTATCCAAAAGTTGGTCGGGGCCTTCGATTGTTTTTCTTCGCCCACGGCTGCGCAGCCTTGCTGAGCACGCAATCGCCAAAGACCGCTCTCCTCAGCACCACCCCCGTCCAGCTCTTGATTGGCCAAGGTGGTACCTCGAGTTGGTAGTGGAATTGTCACCAAGTCAGATTGAGTGATCGCCTTCCAAGCTTTCACCCCGCTGCGGCATCCAGACACTGGCAACGACCCAACTAAGGCAATCCATCGCACAACATGGCAGGTCTCAAAGATGGTCCGACATGCTGCTCTCAGTATCGCAGGAAAGGTTACCAATGTTACCAATGTTACCAACCTCCGCCGGCTGAACAAGACGACTCGAGTCTGGACCACCACCTGGGACTGCCTGAGTAATCCGAACGTGGATCAGGAACGGTACCAAGACCCTGCGATCGCCTCAAGCGACGTCAATTCGCATCAATATCAGATACCAAACGGTTTGCGCATGCTGGATCTGGAAGCTGGACGGCGACGAGAATGAAACACGAAACCGTCGTTAGATGGAAGTTCGATTCTAACACGACCCGATTGGGAATCTGCGAAGAAGCTGGATGTGTTCAAGTGGAGCCCTGGTTGCAGTCTCACCTACAACCTGCAGAAAATAAACCCACCTACTCTGGCCAAACACCCATCTCCTACAATTGGCATGAATGACGTGTGTCGCTGCAGGTCGAAACCCTAATCGCTGCAAGTACCGATCATCGCAACGGCTTTTTCATTAATCAGATTAGGGCTGACCTGCCATCTTCACTCCATTTTCTCCTCCGATAGACTATCAACGAGCAACCGGCATATACACGATCGACGACGAGGGAAGGAGGAAGGTCGTGGTTGCATTGTACGGCCGCTGCTGCGGGGAGAGCGAACTGTGTAGCTGGAGTGGTCTTTTTTCATCTCCAGCTTTTCCCCTCGACACCTTCCGTAGTACGGAGCTCTGGACAACGACGATCGTGAGATCATAAATACCCAGGAATAGATGTGGCTTCGCTCGAGTAGGAAAGCCAAAATAGTCGTATTGGTTAACGAGACAAAATTATCTCCAGCTCAAGTTCGAGTCTTAGTCACACACTCCAACAGCCAGGAAAGAATTAATAAAGCACAGCTATCTGGATTCTTGGCAAAAGTTTCAGCGTGGCCACATTTGCGAGAAGGCAATGGCTGTTGCAAAGACTTGAGGAAGGAGAACTATTCTTGAATCCAATAATGCCTTTTCTCCGAGAACCCACCATACTCCTCCTCTAGCACTCGTCGTTCATTTTTACTTTCTCCAAACACTCTCAACTTATGCATTCATCAAGCCCAGCATTTCCAAGAATTAACCTTTCTGTGCTCCGGATCGTTCATTTCACGACTTTTGATTCAACTTAGCCAGCGACGGAGCGCTGGTGGATATCCCACAGAAATGGGATTCCCTCCGAATTCTAGTTTTCCCCCGGACATCTTATCAAGAATGCGAGTATTTATCAAGAATGCGAGTATTTTACCCCTCAGTGACTCTATTCTCAAGCAGGCAAAACACACCACTGAGAGTAACATACACACTCACTGAATCCGGAAGAAGAAAAAAACATTATCACACAAGAAACTCAGATTTTGCAAAGAACATATCCAACATTTCAGAGCATCTTGAAAATTGTGGTTTTTGAGTACTGTAACGACCCCTGTCAGTCTACCCCGCATTCTTGATTCGCTTGTCACCCTTTCTTCCGAATACCTGTACTGTCTCGCGATTTGGATATCGACTTTCATTGCCCGAAAACTGACACATACGACCATAGACTGAGGAGAACTGGGCATCCCGTCCGCTCTGCCATACATAAGCCTCAGATCGGCAGATTAGTAGTTGGGTGGGTGACCACCAGCGAATACCTGCTGTTGTATGTTTTTTCTTTTGCCCCTCCTTTTTGTGGATGTTTCTTTTGTTACTTTTTGTCAATCTAGTTTCCTAGAGTCTTCGAAAAGAAATTCTACTCGTACCTTATCTTTCTCCAGAGAGATACTGAGATTACATTTTTGTTTCTTTGGACGGATAGATACTTAGGGGTAACCTCCGGATAATACTCTCGGATTCTGTTACTGTAGCTAATGAGTTGTTGTCCCGCATTAGACTGTTATTTTCCATCGATACTTGTTATATGCATCTGCGATTTCAAGTTCGTCGTATCAACTTTTGGTCTTACGGTAGTTTTAAGGTTAGTAGCACGAAGAAGGTCGACCTGAGCCCAATCCCCTCGAGACTTCATATGTACATCTGGGATTTCAAGTTTGAGATTTCCTATTTAAGCGGTCGGACCGGTCAAAATGATGCCTAGGCGCGCTACGGGGCTTGGCCCGACTTGCTCCGTACTACTTAAGTAGTAGTATTGTTGAGTACTAAGACTAAAAGCGGATACCTCGAACCTAGAGCCGTAGGTACATATGAAGCCTCGAGGGGATAGCGCGCCTAGATATTATTTTAACTATTTCGATAGCTCTGATTCCGTAGAATCGCTGTAAGTCAAATCTTGGTTTTGTCTTTTTGATGTAGGTATACTTCACTGATACGGTATCCTAATCATACACTTAGGTCGCTATCGACTAAATCGTAAATTGCAAATCGCAAATCGAGAGAGAGAGAGAGAGAGAGAGAGAGAGAATTAGAGAGGATAGAAGCGGGGAAATATTTTTGTGTATACCGCTTATTCCTAGCCCCCGATTACTACCTTCCTAAAGAGGTTAGGCTAGTACGTGTCGCGCTAACAATTGTTTACTACCGGTCTGTCCTTTCTCTCCCTCCTCCTTCTACTTTCTCTTCTCTTTCTTTACGACAACGATAGTAATAACTATAGCGAGAGGGAAAGGGGGGAGGAGGAGGCGGTTACGACAAAACTAGGGGTATATAGAAGTATAGAGGGGGGGAGGGTTGAGTTAAAGGAGCGTTCGAGTTGAAGGAGCGTTCGAGTTATATTCGAGAGTAGGAGTATTCGAGTCGAGTGGTTTTACCTTCAATTCTAGCGCTGTTATATAACCCTAATCCTGAGCTACTTTACGAATTGCGATTTACGATTTGTAATTTGCGATTTAGTCGATAGCGACCTAAGTGTACGATTGGGATGCCGTAACTGATGGCTTGTCGTTGGAAGTTATATCCTGAACAGGAGATCGCAAATCCAAAATCCTTGTTGTATATGCGATATGATGAATAGGGAGATCTATAGTATTACCATGATATTCAACACCCCCAAAGGTCCGGTTTACTCTCACACTCATCCAACTTATTCTTCTCCAAAAGCTTATCCAACAAATCAGCCACCTTTGCATTATTCATACCAGCAAACGGGACATTCGTATTTCCCCTTCCCACATCAGTCTGTGGCAGAACGATAACCTCAGCGTTTCCTCCAAGTTTATTGATCAGGTCCGCAACAATATATGACCCCGCAACCGCTTGGAGTTGCTCAGATGAACTGTCCAAATTCCCCACCTTATGATCCCCCCAAACAAACTGTACGGCCTTGAGTTTCGCCAAGTTCTTGAAGTTGTCAACGGGCACGAAGGAAGGGTTGAGAGTAGCATTTACTTGTGCACCCTCAGGATACACCACCCCGGAAGTTTCATAAAGGACTACACCCTTGATATTCTCCTTCTTGCTCTTCATCACCGCCATCAAAGCCCCGGGTCCGGCATAGGAATGGGTCAGATAAACGATATCGGTTCCCAGCCTTCCCGAATCTGCAGCTACGGCAGCGGCTTGGGCTTGGAGTTGCAAGTCCTCATCCGCGTTGAAGTCTTGGTATCTAGCTCTTGCTGCTTGATTCCAGGCTGCTAGATCATCGACGGGGAACTGGGAATCGCTCCACCAGAGCTTGCCTTGAGCGAGTACTACGCCCCCGCTGGCGGGATTGAATTGTGCTGATGGTCCGAAGTTCAAGGAATGGAAGGTTTCTATGTCGTTGTAGCATGCGGAATAGGTCACTTCTTCACAGCCATAGTTTGCTCGGCCGATTCCCTGTTTTGGAGATGTCGACGGTTAGTTTCTTTTCTTTGACAGAGATTCGACGTTTTGGGACGTAATTCGAAAGCCCATGAACAATCCCTTTGCCCATCTCATCAAAGGGCCAGGAGTGCTAAAATAAATTCAGAGAAAACAAAAGCACCGTAAGATTACCAAGAGCTCTACATACCGGTCCATCCCACAAAAACACAGGGTACTCTCTCCTCAAAAACATATCCTTAAACCCATCCCCACCATCCCAACGATTCTGAAAATGCTGCGTCGACGACGAATGCCACATCACCAGAGACGTCCGTCGAACTCTCCACGGCGTGAAGAATTCCACATAGCCATGGCTGCACGAGAGCGTTTGGCCGGGATCCTCGGGCGCTGCGAGGACCTCTCCTCCTGTTGCGAAGCCGCCGGACCTTCGAAGGATTATGGCGTCCGCCGTTGGGTGATCCTTTGATGTCTGCTGCGCGGGTTGTTGTTAAGTACGCGATTTGCAGGAGAAGCGAGGTGAGTGGGTATGAGGGAAACATTTTTTTGGATTGGCTTTCGGTGGATAGCGAGGTTTGCTTCGGGCAAGTGGAATTTAGTTTGTTGGTGAGAGGCTATTGTATTTAAGCTAGCTAGTTGTAAGATTACCCGCATCTACGTAGTTATTTTTGGATGAGTGTTGATTTGTTTTACGTGATAGGACCGAAGAGGTGGGCTTGGCGAATGGGAATTTATGTTTAAACTTTGCATGGAATTGAGAATGGCATGCAAATCTCATCCAATTCTCGGCTCCCGGATCTTTTGACTCTTGACTCTTGGGTACTTCCTGGCTCTATTTGGGCATAGTACCAGCTGAAATCAAGTCAGTCGTGTGAGTTATTAATTCGTGTACTAACGCGCGCTCTTGATACAGTACATGCCGGATTCGCTTGAAAACCGTTGCACACACCAAAGTTTCACCACAACACCGTTCATAAAAGAACTCTTCCCTTAAATATTACTATTATATCAAGATTTTATTACACAACCGTATAAGATTAAGTATTTAATTATATTAGTCCTGGCATTACTAAATTAAATATACGTGTTCCACAGACTGCACAGAAGCCGTTCATTAAGCAATGGTCCATGCTAGAACTTTTCATTCTAGTCATGTGTGAACAACGCGAAAACTTTCCCGGCCATACCTTGAAAGCTCTATTTCACGAAAGCGATGGCCTTGTTACAGGGGCTAGAAGATGTGCGAGAATTGTGGACTTTGGGATGAAGTGACGTACTCTTGTAAACAATACGAGGCTTTGATGGGTATATCGGTACGTCTACTGAATATTTTCACCAGCTCGTGATTTATTTTCTTTGCTCTCGCTTAGCAGGCAACGAAGCCCCTGCAAGTAATCCCTAGCACCAGGTAGGTACCTCCAGGTACTGTAAAGGGAAAAAAGAATGCCCTTCAATGCTTGAAATTACGAATTTCTCCAAGGTTAAGTATGCAAAGTAGTGCGCGTGATTTTGTCTCTTTCTTTCGAAGTTTGAACGAGCCAACACTCGCTCATAGTCAACAATCACGCGAAGGGTTGAGTGGAATGGCCTTGGTCGCGGGATTTCATCGGGGTTATTATAAAGTGGGAACCTTGGTATCCCCTCTCAACCCCTCATCGCCCGTTTCATGTGACTCCGACAGCTCTCTCTCTACCTCTGAACAACTGAAAAGCGACAAAATGCCACCAAATCAAGGATTGACACACCTCAAAGAATACAACATCAAAGACAGCAACGTTGAATTGATAGGCACCGAAATTGATCACCAAGTCAAATACAAATCTGCCCAAACAGAGCCCGCCTGGAACGATGGCAAAGTAGGAAAGCAAGCTGGTCTCCACATGTGGCGGACCGGGTGAATTCTACGATGGAGATAGATACATCATATTACATCCCTATAAGGTCAGCGAGAAAGAGGGGGAGGAGAAGCTTATACATGAGATCTCCTTCTGGCTGGGAAGTAAAACCTCGCAGGACGAGGCGGGAACCGCGGCATACAAAACGGTCGAATTGGATGAGTTTTTGAAGGGTGTGGCTACCCAGCATCGAGAGACGGAGCAAGAGTTTTCAGACGATTTCCTCGCCCTCTTTCCGAGAATCAAGATTCTATCGGAGGGTGTTCGTTCGGGATTCACACATGTTGAGGATGCACAGCCAAAAGAGATTACAACTCTACTTAGGGTATTCAAATATCCTAGCGCTGGAAGAGTTCAAACAATCATGGTTCATGAAGTCGAACCAACTTGGCAGAGTCTCGACGAGGACGACGTGTTCATTTTGGATAAAGGGGATAAAATATGGGTATGGCAGGGCAAAAATGCAGTCCAATGGAAAAGGCGAAGGCTGCCCAAGTCGTCCACGATATGACGCTTGCCAAACATAGACGTTGAAGTGCTCTCGCAGGACGAATCCAGATCCAGACTTGTGGTAAATCTGTTAGGAGGTGAAAACAGTTCACAGACTGAATTTCGCTCTCCCAGACCTCTATCTCACAAGGCAGATACTGGCTCAAATGTGCGCCCTCAGCGTTTGTTCCGCCTTAGCGATGCTTCGGGGAGATTATCATTTGATCTTGTCAAAGATCAGATGCCGGTTCATGGAGCCGATTTTGATACCAAAGATGTCTTTATTTTTGACACCGGTCGTACTATCTGGGTTTGGCGAGGACATGGTGCGAGTCAACAGGAAAAGGCGATGTGGATTAACGTTGCACAATCGTATGTTCGCCAACTGCAGGCCGGATCTGAAAGTGCCCCGATTGCCTCTGTGGTGGAAGGTAATGAAAGCCCGGCTTTCCTTAAGACCATCCAGGTTTAGATGGATTTCATGGTTGTAGAAAGGGATTAAAAGTTTTGATTGACTTTATTTTGCCATGTAATGTAGACCAATGGTTACGTTTGGAGCTACCGGGTTTACTTGGCTTTTGACCTTGTTCTGGAGATTTTGTAAAGCGCTTGAGTTGAAGTTGTCATAAGTGTTTAGTGGCACCGGCACGTGCAGAAAGAAACCTACTTGGCGTAAAGCTTGCTGCTTGGGATTTTGCTATTGACTGTTGGTAAAGATTCTTTTGTCACAGCTGCTATTTTCACTCGGAAAAGTGCTCACCTCTTGTTTTGTTCAACTAGTTTCCCCATCAAATACCTACAATTCTTCGGAGGGTATGGATTTATTAGATAATAATGATTGCTAGGAATGTGATTTGGCGAAAGATAATGCTTATTCTTGTTACCTGAATCTTCCGTCATTCTCGTTCGTGGTTAATTGTGAAGTACCTTTTCAGCCTTTACAGGCCGCAGTCCGCGCGGTTTTGATGTGGTTGCCTATTCTACGAAATCTTCTATCCAAGCAATCTCTTGCGAAGATCGCTGATGCTGGGGATACCGATAAGCTGGGATTTTAAATCCTAGTTTGAATATGTACCTCAGAGGCACAGCGTCCCGTACGTCACAGAAGGCACCAACCAATCCATGTAGTACGGGGGATTTACAGTGGGTATTAAAAGTTTGATGTTTTAATTGTTTGGGATCATTAAGGTTATAGCCCTTCAATCACTCTGATTTGTCGAAACAATTATACGAACGTTATACTGTCATTGAGACAGTTGCAGTATTCGAAGAAGTTATCAGCCTCAAATGCAGAACAATATGCTGGCTATCTACGTCACTTGAAGATTTGTGATTCTCCCTAGGGCGACTCGCAAGGGGTAAGCATGTATAAGTATACTGTATGTAAGATTCGATGCCCAAAAAGGAAGGTGATGAGAATATCATCGATCCTTGTATGTGATCAATTGTACTCGAGTACTTCCGTATATCTTTACCAATATCCACTTAACTCTTCTCGATTCTGAGTCCTGACTACCTCTATCATCAAGCTCATCATGAAGAGCCTTGCCAAAGTTATTGCAGCATCCAATTTGTTTCTTTTAACCGCTAATGCTTTGCTGCTCAGTCCTCCTGGGCCCGATATTCAACTCGGAACTGCCACCGCTGAGCTCATTGACTACTCCCGTACTAATGTGTGGGGGAAACAATAGCGATCCTCGAGCATTTCTGATTTCAGTCTTCTACCCACTTGGAGTAAAGCCTTGCTCTGGCAGTTATCGAACGGAATATGTCTCCAAAACCGTTAGCGATTTTGAAGACGGGTATTTCTTTCAGCGGGGTATATTAGGGAAGCTCGACTACAACTCCTTCGAAAGTCAATTCTATCAAGAGTGCTCTGAGAATACCGACGGGAACTATCCAGTCCTGATTTTCTCGCCGGGCTACTTCAGAACGCGGTTGCTGTACGGTGTTCTCGCTCAGACTGTTGCCAAGTTTGGGTACATTGTTATTACGGTCGACCATCCTTATGATGCCGATATTGTTGTTATGCCATCCGGACAGGTCATAGGCGGGGTGGACGAAACGAATTTATCGACGATTGAGGATTATCAAGGAGCAGTTGACACACGGGTTGCCGATTTTAGATTCCTCCTGGATCAATTGGAAGATCCTGAACTCGCAAATGCACTTCTTCCAACGGTACCATGTCGTCTAAATGTTACGAAAGTAGGAATGTTCGGCCATTCATTGGGAGGCGCTTCATCTGTCAATCTCATGATCACAGATGATCGCGTTGCGGGAGGGATCAATTTGGATGGCAGTCTTTGGCCCCCAGATTTCTAATGTGGGACTCGATCAACCATTCATGTTCATGGGCTCCGTGATCGATGGAACTACGGGGCATTCGCATCTCACTGATCGATCGTGGAACTATACGTGGTCGCTGCTTCGGGGTTTCAAATATGATATTACCTTGAATAATAGTCGACATAGCACGTATGGGGATTTGACTTACTTGCTCAAGTCTTTGGATCATGTTCCGATGGGTAATGAGACGATTACGGTTGGGACGGTTGATGGGGGTGTTGCGATGGTTGATATCAGTACGGTTGTGGTGGACTTTTTTGACTGGGTGTTGAAGGGTAAGGAAAGAAGTAAGCTGTTAGAGGGGGATAATGAGGGGTTTCCGGAATTGATACCAGTGCCTTCGTAGCCTTCTGTGTTATCCAGGGACGTGTGGGGCGCGATGAGGGGGGGCGGGGGGCGGTTCTACCACTTTTGATGATTCAATATATGATTTTTACTATGAGAGTGTGAGTTTGGCAAAACGACAAAATCGTCAGACTTGGGTTTTATTTTCTTATGCCTCAGATATGTACGTGAGCTATCATCCTTGCTGCAAATTCGGAAGTCCCAGCACCTGAATGTTTCTTGTGATTTCAAGACGTGGCCACCACCTTCTCCACACTTCCTGATATGCCAAAGTTACTAAACTTCGTAAGGAAATTTGGCTTGCGCCCACACTTAATCCCCTCTCTCATCCTCCCTCGCTTTGCCTCCATTGAGGAATCTTACAAATTGCTCGGTTTAAGGATCTGTCTTGAGGGGTTTCTTATTGATTGCTTCAAACTCCCTAATAGACAATTCCAGTGAGGCCTCCTTTCCGAATACATGTTGTTCGGCACGAAGAATATCAACTGGGGTAACATCCAACGAGAATTGAGTTGGTGAAAGTTTAGTCGCATATCCGCTTGTAACCAAAATCGGGCCTTTCCACGATGTATTGTTCTTCTTTCCTCGAGGGAGATTTGCCAGGTATTGATTTTCTTCGATCCGTCGATCATGAATTCGTCTCTCCACCATAACGTCGTTGTATGATCATAGTCGATTCCCCGCTTCGAGTCTCGAAAAGTTGTCTCCATATCCAAGGTTACGTAGTCATAACTGGGGCTTGGTGGTAGACCGATATGTTGTCTCGGATCACCGTGATGAGTTGCGACATTCTTGCCATCCTTCTTGCCATCCTTCTTCATCCGTAATTCGCACTTGACCCATACAAACTCTACGCCAGCTGAATTTTCAGGTAAGAGCGCGCCGAGCTTATAGGTATTGAGTCCATGATTGGCAGGTCTCGGGTGTTGCGTAGTGAACTCAGTAAACGCCTGGCATAGTGTATCGTGGTTGGCTTTATCCTTATCGAGACATCTGGTAGAGCAGTTGACTGTGCATTTGCAAAGCGGACACTTCATGCCTTTTGATGCTTCTTCAGATGACTTTCCGTTGGGTTCAGCAGGTGCGGCTTTGTTGCAGATAATACATTTAGGGATTTGTCGAAGGCTTGACTGCAAGTTTTCGTCTCCAACTGTCACACCATGGGCGGCTAGGATTCCGTATGGGCGGTCACTATCGCCGGTTTGAAGTGCAGTCATAGCAGCGATGAAATCGAGAGGAAGTCCCGCCACCTGTATATTGAGATGGTATGTTAGCTTCCAATTTTGAGGCCTGTAGGCGTTGGGGTGCAACAGTTGGATTTGTGGACTTAGGCTGCTTTTTGGGACCCATCTTGACACAGAGGCTCATCAACTTCAAGTCGTTAGTTGCTTGATACTTGGGTTTTATCATCATCCGAAGTGCTCACCTTTGTTGACCTTCAAAACGTCTCAGTCGCCTCAATGAGAAGCGCGATGGACCGGGGTTGGACTGTCGTGTTATGGGTTTGAATATCTATCGAGATATTTGGTCCTGTCTTGGGATCTGTGTGGGAGTGATGTTCTTGTAAGATCAAGAGCTTGCGGCGAGTCGGCGTTTCTCAAGCCGTCTGGTGGGGTGGCTATTAAGGTGAATGCCTTCAGACATGGAAGATAGAAGGGTATATTTGGGATTGAAACATGAAGGAAAAAAATAATATTAATCCACGTATTTTTTGGCTCCGAAGTCCAGGCCAGCCTGACTTCTACTTGAAACCCCGAAAGCAACCAGATACAAACTCCTCGCTTCCTTGTAGCACGGCCAATTTCCACCCTATGAGGAAATATGCTAGACCGGCTAGACCTTTACTTCAGTCGGAGAAGAAAACTAAATACACGAACCGCACCGAAGCTCAAACTCTCTTCAGGCTGTTCCGCCAACAACCTCTCCATTGGTGCGAAGATATTCAAAGGCAATCTCGGCAACCGAAGGAGTTACGTTCATGTAATTTCTAGTATTGACGTCTTCACCAACAATAACGCTGCTTGCAAACAAAATAGGACCTCTCCAATCTCTCTTACTCTCTCCTCCGCTAAACGACTGGGCGAGGCTGTTTGGCTTCGCGGTGGAGGAATCGAAGTAATCCCAGAGCTCAATTGAGTGTTTGAGGTCGTTCGGGATGTTTGTAAGCTTCAGGGGCTCATATTTTGGGGGGGAGGCTTGAATATAGTTGGTTTGTAGATAAATATCCAAGTTGGGTTCGTCGTATCCTTCCGTAGCAGTATTACCGTCGCGTCGCTGGCAGGCTAGCCAAATAAGGCCGAATTCAGTTGCCTCTTCCTCTAGCTGGACAGCAAGCTTGTAGGAAATAGAGCCATTTTGGGGGGGACAAGGGTGCTTTTCAAGGAAATCCTTGAATTTGGCGCAGTATTGATTATGAGTCGTCTGGTAACCACAGGTGGGGCATTTGCTTGAATCCATGATGTTGATAGGCTCGCTTGCTTGTTTTGGTTGTTTTTGGGTACGTTTGAGGGGTTTCCTGGGTCTGAATGCTATAGATTTGACGTCAAAATAAGGCTTTGAGCAGAAATATGAGCTGTAACTTACCAAAAAGCTGCTGTGAGGTGTTGTTGTTGGAGGTTGCTTTGTGAGAGGGAGCTCCAGATATTTAACCACAGATAACATAGCCTCACTCGGAAGCACTTATCCGGGGCCGACTAGTTTAATCAGGGGTCGTGACAACTAGGCAGTTACTTATGCTATTCACGAGCTTCTGTTCAATCAAATGTTCGGTGTATTGTAAAAGTTGTCGGTTAATTCACTACTAATTTCGGAAATGACCGACTCGGCTAATCTTGAAAACAAACAAAAACAAAGAGTCACGTAAGATACCTAAGCTATCTTTATTGATCTATCCTTTTAAAGTTTGCTTTTAGTAAAAGATCTTTTAATAAGATACTTAATTTAATTAAAACTAAAATTCACTTCTACTATAATTTTCTATAAATAGGTTAGAGAAATAAGGTTAATTCTATAAGATTATATAAAATAGCGAGTTCTATTTACCAATAATAAGATTTTATATGAAGTTAAGTATACTTATTCTTTACTATTATATAAAAGTAAAAGAAGATTTAGATTAAATTATTAAACTTAGGCGAAATATAAGTTCTTTATATACTAATATTAAAACTCTATCCTAATTAAATTCTACTTTTTCTACATAATTTTATAAAATCTTAAGAAGATTTAAGTTAAATAATTTAATCTAAGCGAAATATAAGTTCTCTAGAGTCTTATATTTAGAGTTTATCTAAAGTAAACCTTTAGAAATATATACTATTAAATTAGACGATTATAAAAGCTTAGTAAATAAAGGAATATTAGACTAAATATTAATTTTCTTTACTATGAGTATAAACTTTTAATTACTTAATTATTCTAAAGAGTAATTAACTATATACTTACTTCTTATATAAGATTCTATACTATAGCTTCTTATAATACTTGATGTATTATATTAAAGATTTAAGTATTACTACTTAATATATACTTATAAGTTATAGTAGTTTCTTTTATAATATACTATTAATTTAATTCATTAGTTTAATAGATAATTTAATAGACCTCTATTATTATAATAACTAATCTCTAATATTACTTACGTAAGTAAATATAGTTATCTAAGCTCTTATATACTTATAAATTCTTTTAACTCTAGCTCTAAAGAAGTATAGTAAACTAATAATTATTTACTATGATAGAGTAATACTAGTATAACTTGGAACTTAAAAAGAACTAGAAAGCTATAAAGTAGTTTTTAAAGTATTTACTTATATAAATCCGTTTATTTAAATAAATTAGTATTCTAGTATATGTGACGGAGCTGGATTTCATTTGACAGGATTTCATTCGCTTGGCCAAGCACGTGACGAGACTTGGCATTGGAACAACTTAAATAACTTCGCTCCTTTCAGATTCTCTTCTCTCTTTAGTTTGATTTCTTCGTACCTACGGTTTTAGTTCTAGCAATTGATTCAAAAGCTGTATACACTTTATCCTTTGTTGGCATCCGTGACAGTATAAGACTTCTATACTCTTTTCTCTACTACCTAACCCTCTATCTCGGTGTTTATATAGGTACCTAGTACCCTAGAGCTTTCTACTTAGTTAAAGTTATCTTACAAGACTTTCTACTCTCTTTAGCTAGCTTCTCTCCTTATTCTAGCTTATCTTTTCTAAATTATACCCTTCTCTTCTAATATTTAGTAGTAATACTAGAATATAAGTATATCTTACGGTTAAAATAAACTCTAGTCAATTACCTAGCTCTAGATCTAAAGGTACTAGGAAACCCCCTTTTTATATCTCGGTGCTTTCGCTTAAAGTCTCTATTAGGCTCCCTAATCGTTAATCTATCTTCGCTTAGATATAGACTTCGCTAAGTATTTAAAATTATACTTTCGTGTCTAAGTTAGTACGCGTCGAAAAGTTAGGGCTCTTAAGCCTAGAATAAGGCACTTAATAAATCCTAAATAATCACTATAAGAGAATACTTAGAATCGATCTCTTTTCCCCGTAAATCACTTCTACTCGACTATCTCTTATTATACTCGAGAGAGTACTAGTAAAAATTACCTCTAAGACGAAAAGCGTATTCACTGGCCTAATATACAGTGAATTCATGTTCAGGCATGCCTTCTTCGCGAAAGATATATGTGCGGTCGCAGTCGATCTTAATTACAATCAGTCTCTCTGTGTGACGGTTATGGTCACGAGGGCTGGATGTCACATGCTCGCTTAGCGAGGCGCTAGCGCGCACGACCTGTATTTAGTTCCCAGCTCACTAGAGCTCTCCTTCTTTCCTCGTCTTTTGTCCTAAGAATAGAGTGTTAATTGTTCTGAGTTCTACCTGAAGCACGTCTGTCACACTCTGAGTCTTCGTGCGTAACCACTGGCTTTCCGCGCTAATACAAGTACGTGCAGTGCTGCCTAACGCTGTACTAAGGGCATGTAGTTATATGAAAAGTGAATGCTAGATACTCGTGACAATCGACGCGAAGCTCGCCCTTTTATGTGAAGTCGCCTGCGAAGGTTGCCAAGTTACGAACGCTGATACCCGCTTCCAAGAGCGCGGCCACCACTCTACCGGACAGATATACCCGTAAACTCTTTACCTTTTTTCAAAGGACCTACTAGGTAACTTTCCCCCTTTACTATAAACCGATTCTTATTCTTAGTACCCCTTTGTTTTAGACTAATCTCTTTATTAAGCTATTTTAATTATAATCAATCTATTTCTATACTTGCGAATAGCCTTAACTTACCTCGTAAAACCTGCGGAACAATAAAACCGACAAAATTTACCCTCGCGGTACGAAGCGAGTATTACGATAAGAAAAAAGAGGTAAGTCATATAAGTTAAAATATAGTAAAATAATAAACTAAAGAGTCTAGAACTCGAAGTAGAGCTACCTAATAGGTACGTACAGTACCTAGGTACTACCTAGTGCTGTACTAAGGGCGCGTGCCTATATAAAGAATGAATGCTAAGTACTCGTGACAGCGAGCTAGTAGATATTATATAAAACACCCCCCTTTCGCCTCGCTTAGGCAAAAATACTTAGGATCCCGAATGACCTTCAGGACCGAAGGACATACATCCCCCTGTCGCTTAATCGCTTACGATCTTTCACTTATTTAGGGGACGAATATATTATATTACTTTAGATTTAGTATAGGTATTAATAAACAGACACTAGATTATCTACTCGTCGCGTTATATATACATTTCAATTTTCGAGTTTACGATTTCCTATTAAAGCGGTCGGACCGGTCGGAATAATGCCTAGACCCATTATAGGGCTTGGTCCGATATGCTCTGTACTAATTAGGTTATACTATTCTTGTGTACTAAGACTTAAAGTAGGTATCGCCAACCTAAAATTTGAAATGTACATATAACGCGACGAGGAGATACTTATTAAGGACCTCTCTCGGACAAGGATACGGATTTTGTATTTAGACTTACATTTAAACTTGTCTTTAGATATCGGCATATGCTTATAACGAGCCACCGATTTAGACTTAATAGTACACTTATCTCGATTTAGACATCGGATAAGTACTTATTGAGAGTCTTATCTATAGAGGGATAAGTAAAGCTAGGGCATCGTCTTTCGATTTTGTAGCGGTAATTATTATAGTACGAGACCCCTGTACCACTGTCTCTGCTGCCTAGTCCCCTGTCTCGGTTGCCTAGATGGATGCCTAGTACTCTAGAGCTTTCCACTCGGTCAGGGTCGTCTTACAAGACTCCCTGCTCCCCCTAGCTAGCTTCTCTCACTATTCCAGCTTATCCACTTCGCACTGTGCCTTCGTCTTCTAACAACTAGTCTCTCTATATCTATCCTATATATCTCGTCTATCCCGTCTAATTATATCTATTTATTTCTCGCTTAATTATTTCTATCTAGAAGTAGAGTGTGAGAGGCCAGACCTCGAATAGCTCAAAGGTGTGGTTTCGAATATTCAATTAAGAAGTGCGTGAAGACTACATATATGCAATCTCTTCCTCTATATATAGAGAGAGGAAGAGTTTCTGGAGTCTTCCAAGAAACTGTTTGACAAATACGTGACGTCAAAAGAATAGAGTAGAAAAGTGTAGAAAAGGAGAAACCAATTTAGCAGTGGAGCAATGGCCAATGCTGAGCGGGGACTTTGGTCAGTGCTTAGCGAGGGCATGGCCCGAGCCTCCATCATGGGTTCCAACCCTCACATAGAGCAATCAATTCTACTTTCGTCCTACTAATAAGTATAGTGCGATTAGTTCTTTACTTTGAATTAGAAGTGAATCGTGCTAGCAAGCTCTCTGAGAAGTCGGTTCAATGTGCTGCAAATGCGGGGTATTCGTCAATGTTCAATACTGGTGGTTTTATATTCGCACAGGGAAGAGAGAAGTAACATCGATGATTTCAGTAGGACTTAGACTATGGTTTGGGCTGATTTTCCTCAAGCCAGATCAAAACACATCATCGTCATATGCGTCAACTACATTTTGTTCTCCCGAGCGCTAAAAACACAAAATTACGACCGTGATTCGCCCCAATTTCCACTGCCCTATAAATGATGGTACGCAATAACGAATCTTGGGAAAATGGGGAGTGGAACGATCGAGCGTAAGCCAGTCGCCGAAGACGGAAAATCCTTGAGAAGCCGACAGGCTAACTTTTATTACCGTATAATCCTCGAAAAAGGCCTCCAGTCTGTTCCTGCAACCAATGTGCCGAGTTGTTCAGGATATGATCGTGCTGTCCACGTACCAGGTGAGGATGGCCATCCATCACCTCGGTGGGTCCAGCTAGTCTGGCGATAAGAAAGAACTTTACTTGACTTTTACTTTTGACTTTTCATCAATGACAAGCGTCAGAATACCGATGTTTTTAGCATCTTCTGCCATATCCTAATCCCTCATATACCCG